GAAATCTTACAAAAATCACAGGGAATGCAGGGAGCCAGAGCAGAACAAAAACAGGAACCAGGAACAAAAATCAAGCAGAATACCAAAGTGGAAGTAACCAGGATATAATGGGATTAACACGAGGAACCAGCAAGGAGTGTGAGCAGAAGAAGGGTTTAAATACTATGAGGTTGAATGCTGAAGACCTGGACTGATTGATTGATTAACAGGTTGCAGACCAGAAGACAGGCTGAGGAGAGAGAGAGAGTGAATGTGGCACAGTGGGCGAGGGAGAGCACACTGGGGACTAGGAAATGAAATCCTGAAGAATAACGACACTTAGGAAACATAAATAAATAAGAGCAACAGAATAACTAGACCAGAAATAAACTGCAATCATCACTAAGAAGGACTAAACTAAAAATAGAAACATGACTGATCAAAGAAAGAGACAAGAGCACAAAATAATAAAACCTCAAAACAACTCAGGACCCTAACAAGTTGCTGGAAAACAGGATTTTTCTATTTTTTGTTTTAAATGAGCAAGTTATTATACAGTGTATATTTTTGGCATGACTAGGGCTGTTACCATTCCTAACCATAATCAGAAGGCTCTGATCACATGTGGTTGATGCAGATAAAGATGCTTTATTTTTAATTAGGGAAATATTATTACTGTGCAAATGAAATCTTCATAAAAGGGAACATGTTAAATGCAACACTCTTATTCTTATTACTCTTTTCATAACCCATTATTTGCACAAGAATTTCATAGTAAGGAGGGCAATAATCGATCAACTGACTTTTACTCAAAAGCAGATTTTGGCTCACTCAATCTACTTTTAATTTATTTATTAAACTTGGCTATATGCAACATATATGACTCAAATGAGGTAGTCAAACCCTGTTTTTATTGCTGACAACTGACCAAGTTTTTATTTTTTCCATCAAGCCCAAATTTGCAAACTGGTGTCTTTCTTTTATGAAGACAAATGTGCAAAACTCATTTTTAAGTTTTGGATCTACAATGATTTTAAAGTTCCTTTTTATACAAGCATCAAAATGCTTTATTTTATTCAATTAAAAATATTAATTTGCTTAGATTATTGTTGAACTGGTCTCTTGAGTTAGAGCAAGCCTTTTAAGCATATACTTTCAAGCTCTGTGTAGGTGAAGGCCCTAACTTTATCCAGATGTTTTTTGTTTTTTATTCTTTAAAAATAGTGTAGAGTTGGGCTTTTTGAAAAGCTATTTCTGTTTACACAGATTGCATAGATCTGTCATAAAACCTCATGCTTCCAAATGGCCAAAGGTCACAGTTACTGTTTAATGATTGTTAGTTCCCTGACAGAATGTCTGACTCCAGTCCTAATGGGATTTTAATTGTAGCATGCTTCAAAAATGACAAAGTAGAGATGGACCAATCCTAATGTTGTAGCCAGTCTCTCATCTCCTGGTATTTTAAAGCTTTGACCTGCTGACATCAATTTTGACCTGTGCAATTTTCTCCATATGTACAGTATACCTTATGCTGTAATTCATACAGCGGGTAAAATAAGTATTTAACACAAAAATATATTTCTGAGTTGAAATAGGTCTGAGGGCTGCACAGTGGCGCAGTTGGTAGAGCTGTTGCCTTGCAGCAAGAAGGTTCTGGGTTTGATTCCCGGCCCCGGTCTTTCTGCATGGAGTTTGCATGTTTTCCCTGTGCATGCGTGGGTTTTCTCCGGGTACTCCAGTTTCCTCCCACAGTCCAAAAACATGACTGTCAGGTTAATTGGCCTCTCTAGGTGTGAGTGTGTGTGTGCATGGTTGTGTGTCTCTGTGTTGCCCTGTGACATACTGGCAACCTGTCCAGGGTGACCCCGCCTCTCGCCCGGAACTTTAGCTGGAGATAGACAGCAGCACCCCTCCTGATCCCACTAAGGGACAAGGGTGTAAAGAAAATGGATGGATGGATGGAAATAGGTCTGATGAGGTTATTGACATAAAATTGACACCAGATGTTAGTAGATGTCAAATAAGTCACAGCAAACATAAAGTTATGGGCAAAAAAATGGAATGTCAAAGGGAATAATTATTCAACACTTACAGAAAGGTATGAAACACTTTGTGGAAAAGCCTTTCTGGGTAATGACAACTTCATTCCCTCTCCTGTGTGGAGCAGCTAATCCCATGCATTGCTATGGCGTGAGATTGACCTATTCTTCCACACAAACACCTTGAGGATTCTTTTTATTCACTATGATCAGTTTTTTCCATAGATTTTCATTTGGATTCAAGTAAAGTGATAAAGTGGCCCATTCTAGCAGTTTACTTTCTTTATCTGAAACAGAGTAAGAGTTTCCCCGACTTTGCATTTAGGACACTTGTCTTGCTCATTTCATCATCGGATTCCTATCAAGACTGCCCTAATATATTTCTCCATTCATCTTTCTTTCAATCATATAAAGTCAGTACCATATGCTATAAGACAATCCAAACACTGATCTTCCCTCTTTTGTCATGGTACTTTGAGGTTGTATGCAGAACCAACGTTGACCTCATCTGACAAGACTTTATATTAAATAGCATGTTTATGGATTGTCAAAACCTTCTGACGAAAAGACCAATCAAGCATCAACATGTAATTTATTCAGTGGAGTCTTGTACTGTGAATATCCATAGAGATAGTTGCAGTTGATTATTTTACTTGTTTTCATTGAAAACACTGGAGCTGCTATTTCCAGGTCTTTGTGAAACTCTGTCAGAGCTCCTTGAACAACTCTGATTATTAATTTGGCTTCAGCCTGTTGCTGCTTTATGGTGAAATGATCTGGATTATGGCTTCAACATAGGTCAAAGGTTTAAAATTAGTTGGATTAGTTGCCTATATTTTTCTAGTATGGTAATAACCAGCCCCTTTACACTTCACTTCATACAAAGAGTCTGGACCCTCGACTTTTGAGAAACGGCTGCTTGCCGGAGGCATGGAGTCTAACATTGTACAAAAGCTTACAAAGTAAATGGCTATTAGGATGAGTTCAATGCACTAATCAGTCTGTCTGCTTTCCCCACAGCTGCTTAACTCCCAACTTTGACTTTGTCTTTTATTAATTTATCTAAATGTCACATGAAGTATGTAAAACTCACTGCTGAATCTCTCAGATAAAGACATGTGACCAATGTGCTCATGTTGTTGTCTGCAGCCATATTTCAAATAAAGACGTCACGTTGTCACATGTTGAGAACTGGTCTCTGTTTTATCTGCCTGAGAATCTAATTTTTTTCCTTAAACATGAGTTATTGTTTCTGGTTGTGTTCTAGTGTAGCAGGAGACATACTGGATCTGCATGCTTGTGCGCAGTGATGCTGGCACACTCCCATGCTGGCATCACAAGCTGCAGCTGAAGTGGCCCCAACAGAAAGAGATCAACCTCTCGGAGTTCCTGGGCTAAACTAACCTAGACAAAAAAGTTTAGATTCTTGAATCATATTGTCGTCAAAATGATTTCTGATGTATTTTAGTTTAAATTTAAATTCAGTTCAGTTAATTTATGTAGCACCAATACATAACAAATATTCAAATATTGTCTGAAGACACTTTACAAAAAAATCTTCTCAATTCAATCTTACATATATTCCAACTGATCCTGGTTATCAAACAGTACAGTAAGTGTAGTTTATTATTCAAAATAGTTTAAAATGTTTCTATCTAAGGAAACCCAGCAGAGCATCGAGTCATTGACTTGCAGGATTCCCTCCTCCTGGACCAGCAATCACTTGCATTTTATCATTGACTTTAAAGCAATCCCTCATGCTGAGCATACATGCAGCGACAAAGGAGAGGAAAATATCCTCTTTAGCAGGAAGAAACCTCCAGGAGAACCAGAACACAGATCAGTGGAAGCAGCATTATCTCAGCTGATGACCTCCTGCAGGAACCAATCACATCCAACCTGAACACCAGACCAGGTGTAGCTTCTACAGAGGGAAAAACTGAGAGAAAACAAAAAGCTAACAGTTGAAATAAAAGCAAATAATGCAAATTGGAGAGTACGGTAGTAGGAAATGAAAGCGATTCGATTTTAGACACATTATTTTTGCCTTAGTAGCCACTTCATACAACATTTTCAAATAGTTTCGTCTTTTAGCTGACTTGATGTAGAAAACTCCATCAGTGCTGTGAACTCATAACAATAATTTTGTCCTTTTCAGGCTCCCCCCTCCTTCTGTTTGCCAACCGACGAGATGTGAGATTGGTTGATGGTGAAGGTGTGCAGGGCGAATCAGCCATAGTTGTCAGTGAACTTGAAGATGCAGCTGCAGTGGACTTCCTGTTTGATGAGAGCCTGATCTTTTGGACTGACGTCAGTGAGGAGGCCATCAAACAAACCCACTGGAATCAGTCATCCAACTGTAAGGCACTGGGTTGTTTTTTACTGATTCAGACAAATGTTCTCATGTAAGTACATTCTCTCTGAAGCCTTGGAGCAGGACAACAGGTGTCACAGTGTTCTTCGCCCATTTGAGATGCATTATCTTCTAAAAGCATAACCTACTCATTTCATTTTGGTTCATTTTGACGTTTCTAATTAAAAAAAAAACTGTCATTTTCACATTTTTTGTTTACTAGAGTCTGGTACTTCTCTTCTTGTTCTGAAAGAACAACATCTAAAAAAACGCTTCTGGTTAGTAAGCAGAGATATTTTCCAAACCAGGCCCAACTGAAATGTTGGGATGGGTTCCCAGTGTTTACCTGGAAAACATTTCACCTTGTTAATAATTCATCATTCTGCCATAATATTGATAAACTCAAATTAATGAGATGTACAACATTCAAGAACTGATTAGAAAAATTCTGACAGTATTTCTTACTTCCAGAAAAGAATAAGTTAAACTTGTGCTCACATGTTTATATAAATGTGGAATGTGCCTCCAGACTGTTCAGTGATAGATTGGTTCAAAAAAGATTGTTTATCTGTAATGTTTTTTGATCTGTTTTTTATATTGTAACAAGAGCAAATTAAGGTAAGGGTTATGATAAAATTTCTGTATACCTGCTAACCTGCTAAATGAAAGCATATCTGTTTTTTAAACCAGGAGAGTTAGATCCAAAATTATTCATACGACTGAAAGATTTAGGTTTAAAGTACTTGTTTTTTTTCTTTTTGTTTTTTTTTACATATCCAGCATTTTATTTTTGACAGGAAGCAATACTAATGCAAAATAAAACAAAATAGACATAAATAAGCTGACATTTCTTAAGGAGGTACTGCATATTTATTTAATTAGGTTTTTTTCTTGACTGTATGTAATATTAAACCAATCTTCATTTGTATTCAGAGTTCAATACGAAATGAAACGGGATCCATTGTAGATTTACATGACTTTGATTTAACTGGAAATGTATCATCTCCTGGTAACATTACACCTGAGAGTGTGTTGTTCTTGCAGCTCTTAAGGAGGCTCTGGGAACTGGCCAAGCAGTGGTCGTGTCTGGGCTGAACAGTCCTGATGGGTTAGCCTGTGACTGGCTGGGGAAGAAGCTCTACTGGACAGACTCGGAGACCAATCGGATTGAAGTCGCCAATCTGGACGGCACCTCCAGGAAAGTCCTAGTGTGGATGGACTTGGACCAACCCAGGGCTATTGCCCTTAATCCTGGACAAAGGTAATCAAATAAATTACAATGTCGAGGTGGCAGAGGTGTTAGGAGTTTGTCCCTCAATCTGTGGGTTGCTGGTTTGAATACCCACAACCCACATAGTTGTGGGTATTCAGCCAGGTACAGACTATTTACTATTTTAAACCCCATAAAGCAATGCACACACACATACTACTAGAGCTTGCTGTGTGCAGAGTCAGAAGGTATCAGTAGCTGTTTCATCAGAAACCTTTTTCAGATCCCTTTTTTGCGGGACACTTCCTGTTTTGCTGGAGGAAGTTTCCCAGTGACCCTGTTTATGCTGACTTGGTTATTTTTTGTTAAATTGTAATAAGATGCAGTGCTTCTCTCAGGGATTTGGTCTTTTATTGAAAAAGAACGTGAACATGTTTTGAATATGTCTACATATTGGGCGGAATATTCCTATTCCAATATTTTAGGAAAAAAGAAATCTTGAAAATGTTCTTCATTGAACTTCTATCAATAGATAACATATTATTATCTAGCTATCATTCAGGGTTTCCCCCAGAAAACTTGTTAAGCCCAGTGGTCGATGCTTCGAGGCAGTTCACCATGTTTTTTGTATTAAAAGAGGTTAAGCTGATAGGAAATGTAAAAACATTTTTTCAGTGATTTTTGCATCGTGTCAGGGTCAGGGCATGAAACATTTGGGTTATTTTATAAACTTGTACCTTTGCCACACTTACCAGGAGGAGAATTCTTGCTGCTGCTATTCCCAGGAATGAAAATCCTGCTATCAAAACAAGATTTGGTGTATTTAAAAAACATAGATATCATTGCCTGATTTTACAACTTTGTGTGATATGTTTTTTCATGCACTCTCTGTTTGCTGCTGAGAGCGTGTCACCTTCATCTGAGCTCATGTTCCAGCATTGGTGACAGCGTAAAAAACATGTTTTTAGCCAGCTCTTGTAAAGTTTGTGTTTCACAAGAGAGTTAAAAGAAGAGGAATTCACAGTTAATATCATTAACAGTGAACACATGCAATTACTACATGCTGTGATCTCCTTGGGGGAGGGGGTCTATCCTGTTGGCAGGGCAGAGAGCCCCACCCCTTTTGGAGAATGGCAGAGTAAATGCTGAGATGGCACACATCGCCATTATCTCTGATTTTCAATCAGAGACAATTAAAACATTTTATTAGTTAACACTTAAAGAAAAGCAGTTGCGGGTATAAAATACAGGTACGGTGGACATTATTATGCAACTGCAAATTACCATGTTATTAAACTGTTTTCTTCCAGATACATGTATTGGACAGACTGGGGAGAGGAGCCTCGGATAGAACGTGCTGGCATGGATGGCAGCAGCAGGTACTGTAAAGTGTAGAATAACAGGCAGATCTGGGTCTGCATGCTGGGATTGAAACTTGATTGAAAATGTACAAGATCTCTTTCTGCGCTCCTCTCAGAGGCAGTCCTAGCCTGTTTGGCGCCCTGGGTGAACCCCCTTTCCAGCACCCCGGCCCCCTCCCCTCCAAAAAGTTGTCAAAGGCAGTGGGGGGCAGGGGGGGCATGTTGCCTATATCAGAAACGGCCACTGGCTCCTCGCTTTGTGGTCCTGTACTCTTGTGCTGACCAGTCTGAGTCCTGACAGATCCAGACTACTGATGGTAGAACAAGCTAGAGAGCACATACATGTAAATAACTATGCATGTAAGTAACATACTTGCACCGGGGCAATTTACCAAACTGAAGCTAGAATGTTGGTCATCAAATCACTAAGATAAAAATGATGTCTAAATGACCAAGCTGAAAGGCAAACAAAATGCATTTATATACAAATATACTCAGCAATTGTATGAAAATAAGCTAAGAACACTAACTTTACTTGTGCTCTGCTGTCTCCTAACAGGAAAGTCATAGTGAATAAGAACATACACTGGCCCAATGGCCTCACCATAGACCTGGTGGAGGAGAAGTTATACTGGGCTGATGCCAAGCTCAGCTTCATTCACAGAGCCAACCTGGATGGATCTGCACGGTAAACTTTATGTAACATAAGGCTGGATGAAAGTGAAAGTCTCAATAATAGTTAAAATTCAGATATCTGAATTATAACCAGATATCTTAAAAATACAAATGAGTGGGGTGAGTGTTTCAAGGTAAAATTGTCAGTGTTTCTTTTTTTTATTAATGACTGAACTGATTTGACTTGATCTATTAATTTTCACAGATACTCTATATTAAATTATCTATATTAAAATGGAATACTATATCTACTATATGTCTTTCTCTTGTAATAAACATACCCAGAGTTTTGCTGTGACTCGTTAATGCATGTTTGAGAAATTCTTTTCACCAATGTGTGTAGTACTTAGTCAGATCTCTTAGTGATCCCAGTATTTATTTAGAACAGTAGATAATTGGGACATGGCAATAGCTCGTAAGTCAAGATGATATTTGGTTCATAATTATTAGAAGAAACCAACATTTTATGGTTGGTTTCTTCTACCATAAAATGTTGGTAGAACATTTTACGGTATAAAAACTGTTCTAACATAACAAAATGTAAATTCTTACATTTTGGGAAACGTAACAATTCTGTTTCATTGACATAAATATAGAAAACATTTTTTAAAATCACAAAATACGTTTTAAAGAATCTGTAATTAATGTATCATCTAGTACAGGTTTGACTTGCCCATACTGAAGGCTGTATATATCTATATGCAGTATTTAATGAATTTGCATACTTTAGAATAATCCAATTTGAAGGTGGTCCTAAAGGCAAGAAAACATTTAAAATTTGCCTTTTTGTGTTTTCATAAATGGAATAAAAGTTTTATTGATATAAATTAGTGTTTTAATGAATCTGTGTTTATTGTAAAATAATTTAAGTCAGTTTTGATCAGTTGACATAGATTAGATGTTCAACCATAGATAAAGAAATGCAGTTCTATCAGATTAAAGTGGAAGCAGGCCCTTAGTGTAGCACAGATATGGAGCTCCGATGCACTTCACTAGTCTTTTTCATAAAACATTTTCATCATAAACCTTCAAAGTCAAGCTAAGTCACAGCTAGTCATTAATCACAAATGAAGTTGGTGATATTCCTCACAGCCGAGGCATATCAGTAAATCCTGTGAAGAACGCCACCACTGGATTCTAGACCAGTCCAACATCAGTATGTCACCTCACAAATGCGCTTCTGGTAGAATGGTAAAGATCCCCATAAACACTCCTAAACCTTGTGGACAGCCTTCACAGAAGAGAGGAAGCTGTTCTAGCAGCAAAAGGTGGACCAACGTCATATTGAACCCTATGGATCAGGAATGGGATGTCACTTAATCTCATCTGTGACATTTTACTGAATCGACTGGAGAGTTGGGGCGGACTCTCCGGTCCAGTGCTCTGGTTTGAATCTTACATAAAGAACAGGGATTTCTTTGTTTCAATCGGAAACTTCTCATCAGAGAGGTCAAAGGTCACATGTGGGGTACCCCAAGGCTCAATCCTAGGACCCCTTCTTTTCAATATTTATATGCTCCCGCTGGCTCAGGTTATAACAGGAAATAGGATCAGCTAACATAATTACGTGGGTGATACACAGCTCTACATCATGATGTCACCAGGTGA